CTTCTTCTTTTGTGTAGGTGAGCTCTCACAGTGTTGTGCTGGTCTTGAACTCCTGGCCTCAAGTGGTTCTCCTGGCTCAGCCTCCCAAAGTGTTGGGATTACAGGCATGCACATCATGTCTGGCCCTTTTCTTCTGATATATATGAGAAAAATAAAACAAAAATACATTACTCGTATAAAAGCATGACTAAGCTCAAATTATTTTCACATAAAGAAGTCTACAAATAACAGAATCTAGCCCTCATGTCGTTTTCCAATAATCTTCAGGATATGCAACTTTGCAATCACTGGGAACTAAACAAAGTTGAAGTTTATTTGCTAAGAAAGTTATAAATGCCACAAATAAGAGAAGTCATAATATTGGTTTTCTCTGGAAGGAGGATATGAATTGAGAAGCAGGTGAGAACCTCCTGGAGTGCTGGAGATATTTTATCTCTTGATCTGGATGTCAGTGGCATGGGTGTTGATATGGTTTGGATCTGTGTCCCCCCCACCAAATCTCATGTCTAATTGTAATCCCCAGTGTTGGAGGTGGGGCCTGGTGGGAGGTGATTGGGGCATGGAGGTGGATCCTTCATGAATGGTTTAGCATCATCCCCTTGGTGCTATTCTCTTGATAAGAGTTCTAAAGAAATCTGTTTGTTTAGAAGTGTGTGGCACCTCCCCAACCCCCACTGCACTCCCTTGCTTCTGCTTGGGCCATGTAAGATGAGCCTGCTTCTCCTTCACCTCCCACCATGATTATAAGTTTCCTGAGGGCTCCCCAGAAGCTGAGCAGATGGCCAGCATCATGCTTCCTGTACAGCCTGTGGAACTGTGAGCCAATTAAACCTCTTTTCTTTACAAATTACCCCATCTTAGGTATTTCTTTATAGCAATGCAAGAATGGAATAATACAGGTGTGTATATATGTAAAAAAACATTGAGCTGTACATATCAGATTAGTGTACTTTATGTACTTTACTGTGATTGTATGTATTTATATATACTCATATATACGCATAACAACAAATAAATTACAAATAGTTTAATATGAAGGCAAAATTCTTTATCAAGGGATGTGAATTCAGTATTGCTCAGTGTGCACAGTCATCTGTTTTCTGTGGGCATCAGGGTGATTCATGTATATTTTCAATGTACTTTGTTACCACAAATTTGTGAGTGGGTAAGGGCCTATCATGACATTAAAGCTATTATTGCATTCCTGCCGCAACTCATTAAAGTACAAAACTTTGTATTTTCTCTAAGATACATTAAGAAAAACTATCTAAAATTTGAAAGTGGATAGAAAAATCAGTGTCCACTTTCAGTGTTGTTGTGGGGATTGTCTAGCAGGCTTCCTGAAGGACTGATTCCCCCCGGGGAAACTTTGTAACTTTTTTTGATTTGCTGTTAATTATTTGTGGTATGAGGTTCCTAAGATCACCCTCAGGTTCAATAATTTGCTAGAAGGAACCACAGAACTCAGAAAAGCTGTTCTACTCATAGTTATGGTTTATCATAGAAAAATAATTTAGATTTATTATCCAAGGTAAAAGGAGAATATGGTAGAGTCCAAGAGAGAGACCAGACACAAATTTCTACTTGTTCTCTCTCAGTGGAGTTGTATGGATAGTGCTTAATTTTTCCAGCAGTGATGTGTGACAACACATAAGCAGTATCGTCAACCAGGGAAACTTATCTAAACTTTGAGATCCAGGTTTGTTTTTTTTTTAATTTTGAGATGGAGTCTTGCTCTGTCGCCCAGGCTGGACTGCAGTGGCGTGATCTCGGCTCACTGCAAGCTCTGCCTCCTGGGTTCACGCTGTTCTGCCTCAGCCTCCCAAGTAGCTGGGACTACAGGCGCCTGCCACCACGCCCGGCTTATTTTTTGTATTTTTAGTAGAGACAGAGTTTCACCATGTTGGCCAGGATGGTCTTGATCTTCTGACCTTGTGATCCACCCGCCTCGGCCTCCCAAAGTGCTGGGATTACAGGCGTGAGCCACCACACCCGGCCCTAGATCCAGGGTTTTTATTGGGGGTCAGTCATATAGGCTTGGAGTGCCCACATAGCTGACCTTAGTTACTCAGTCTCCAGCCCTTTGGAGTCAAACTGACATCATGTAGCCACCTCCCTCCCCTCCTCCTTAATAAATCACATTGTTAGCATAAACTGTCTAGTGTGGCCCAAAGCCCCAGATAAGCAAAGACATTCTTCTCAGGAATGACATTCCAAGGGCTTAGAGGTTATCCTCAATAGGTGGTTAATGGCCACACCTTTCTTTGGAAGGTGCAGGGTTTGGATTTCCCAGATTAGCTGAGTGAATCATTTAATAGGGTAATTTACAATTTTGTAAGAGTAATTGTTAACTAATAGAAACCTGGTAGTGATGAAAATGATTTTTGTCCAATAACAATGCAAATGGATCTTTTATTGTAGAGTTGTAAATTATTAAATCTAGTAGAAAAGATAAACTCAAAAGTTATATAGTTGTATTGCTTTTCAGAAGGCTAAACTGGTTTGGATCTAAATGAGCAATTTGATCCAAGCATCCTTTCCTTCAGCTGCTGAAAATATTTTACTTTCTCCAATTCTCTTGGTAGTTCTCTTACCATTTTTCTGTTTCCATCATTAATGAGATAATTAAATTACTGGTATGTATTCATTTTGTATTTACATAAGAATCATGTTTTAATATTTATTTATTTATTTATTTTGAGACAGAGCTTCGTGCTTGTTGCCCAGGCTGGAGTGCAATGGCATAATCTTGGCTCACCACAACCTCCGCCTCCTGGGTATTCTCCTGCCTCAGCCTTCCCGAGTAGCTGGGGTTATAGGCATGCGCCACCACGCCCAGCTAATTTTGTATTTTTAGTTGAAATGGGGTTTCTCCACATTGGTCAGGCTGGTCTTGAACTCCTAACCTCAGGTGATCCACCCGCCTTGGCCTCCCAAAGTGCTGGGATTACAGGTGTGAGCCACTGTGCCCGGCCTGATTTTTTAAAAATTATACTTTGACAGTTTCTTCTCATTTACACCCTCTGATAGGCAGCAACCTCCTTAATTTTCAGTGTGGATAGAGATATCTACTCTATCATTTTTGTGGGAATCTAAAGTGAGGGAAGCAGGAGCTAAATCCTAGTACTCCAAAACTCCTGTCAATCTAAAATAATCAAAAGGTTCAGAATCTAATTTAAAGAGAGTTTATTCAAGCTCAAAGAGTGAGAATGGACCACCCAAAAACACCAACTCTAAAGGAATGGAGTCAGCATTTTGAAGTCGGGAATTTAAGATTTCATTTATATAGACAGAGACAGATACTTTAGTGGAATTACAACACTATTTACACAAAGTTGGTGCATAGTTACAGCAATTTGATTGGTTATAGGCAGTGTTTCCTTTTGGGAAGGAGACATTTAACACTTTTTACAGAGGGTGTAATAGCTTTGTGTTTCTTGTCATCTGGTCTAAGCAAAGTGAGGCAGCAAAGGGGAAGTGAATCTATGACCAGGGCCATTAATGAAGAAGGCAGGAGGCGTTTATCTGTAGTACAGTTGAATTCTCTCTAGTTATTGTGCAGAACAAGAAAAATAAGAAAGTGAGTTAATCTATCTGAGAACAGAAGTTGTAACCATGTGTGACTCAGATCATAGCCACATCTCACTCAGGGCTTAATGTGTTTTGGGGGGGTTCCAATAGCTTTTAAATTTTATTTATCTCCCTGCCCTGAAAGTCCCTGTTGCAGACATCTCTTATTTTGTCTGCTTCTTGGGGTAACCTATTTCTGGTGATTCAGGCAAGATTGTAGTTCCTTATGATTCCTTTCTCCTCAGTGCTCCTCTCATTCCACCCACTCCTACCCTCTTGCCTTTCCTTCCCCCTCCCGCTGTCTCCCTCATCCCTCTCTTTCTTCTTCTCTGCACAGGGATGAGTTTATGTCTCAGGCCTTTCTATTCAGTCTGCACCAGGCCATCACCATTGGTTCCAGCATGATGCATGCTGGCCAATCAGAGTTCTTCCCAGGATTACTTCCTTGACAGAGCTATTCCCAAAGACTCTCACTCTCTTCTAGGTTCCTAATCTGGTTGAAGGAGAGTGTTTCTGAGAGCTATCATGCCTGCTCTCTGGAGTTGGCTAGTCCAAGCAGGGGAAAAATAGCCACAAGTTGCAAAGACACAGTTTGAGCCCAAGTTCTAGCTGCTTACAGCCGCTTTACCCCTGCACTTCTTTGTTTCCAGTTCTGTGATAAATTGAATTCACTATTTCTGCTTAAACTAGTCTGAACTGCATTTCTGTTACTAGGAACTAATAACATTCTGATGGAAAAATCGCTATATGGAAGCGGGGCGTAACAAGTGAACACTGCTGAAAGTTAGAATCGACTGAGTTAATTTGGGTGAAGTGTAATGGGAAACACGGTCCTCACTGGGAGTCCGGATGTCTTTACCACTATTTTATAACAACTCATATTTTTTCCAAATATGGGCAAATATTTTAAACATGAAGAGAAAAAAACAGACTTTTAAAAGTATGCAGACAAAGATAATTAACATTAGATCCCTTGTAAAAATGGAACCCCAGGGAGTCTAACAAAAATGCACCTTTGGCTAACTTTTGCTTTTTAAAATTGCTTGTCTGACCTCCCCTCCCAGTGCACAGGAAATGATAGCTTCTGGGAGATGTGTGAAGTTGCAGGAGTCCCCAGCAACATCAAAGGGTTCAGGGATTGTATTCTAGCAGTTTCTTTCTTTTTTTTTTTTTTTGAGATCGAGTTTCACTCTTGTTCCCAAACTGGAGTGCAATGGCATGATCTCAGCTCATTGCAACCTCCATCTCCTGGGTTCAAGAGATTCTCCTGCCTCAGTCTCCCGATTAGCTGGGATTATAGGCATGTGCCACCATGCCTGGCTATTTTTTTGTATTTTTAGTAGAAACGGGATTTCACCATGTTAGTCAGGCTGGTCTCGAACTCCTGACCTCAGATGGTCCGCCTGCCTCAGTTTCCCAAAGTGTTGGGATTACAGGTGAGCCACCACACCCGGCCCTAGCAGTTTCTTGATCTTCTCTTTCCTGGTCTCAATTTCATCTCGTACTATCACGAAGGAGTGTGAGTAGCCTTTGGAGACATTCTTTGAGAAGATGCCATCCAGAGTCTTCACCTCTTGGGCTGCAGTGGAAGACTTGGGCTCATGCTCCCTGTATCCCAATTACCTAAAGGTTCGTTACAGCCCCCAGCTGATGGTGCTCTCATCGGCGGCTACAATGATGCTGCTCTTCCCACAAGCCAGCCTCCTGATTCTGCAGCCACAGAGGTCCTGCACTGCTTTCAGGTACTTGGAAGATTCACGGGAGATATTGGGCTCCCTATAAAAAGAGACTACTAACTTCACAGACAGCAAAGGAGCAGGTGTAACCAACATGGATCTGGGATGCCCTACACCCAAGGAAGTCAAACTCCAACTTGACCAAGCGGAGACCATCTCATCCTTCTGCTCTGAGTGGCCCAGCCAACCATAGCAACCAAAGCCCCAGGAGAAGACTCATTTGTTGGAGTCCAGAATCAATGTGTGGTTAGCATCACAGGCCGCGACTTGCACAACTGTTACTGGCTGGTGGGTTCTTGACCCTTAGTAAATAGAAATAGACCAAGAATCTGAGATGGACTTGAGCAAGGCAGTTTATTGGAGCTCTCAGCTTGAGCTCTCAGCTTGAGCAGAAGGGGAGGTAGCAACAGGAAGAGACCTGCAGCTAGCTCCCTGGCAGCAGGTTAGTTTGGGGTTTCATTTGCTTTGGAGCTCCTCCATGTGACATCATTGTATGTTTGGGGTAGTCTGGCGGCAGTTGTACCTAGGCAGTCTCTGGACATGCTTCTTCATGTGATGCATGTCTCATTAGCATCTTGAATCTCCACCCAGGGGTGTGAATTTTACTACTGAAATGAAGCAAAGGCCAGGTTAGGACAGGCTGGGACATTACTGGGCAAGTGCATTGGGGAGAATCTTTTGCAAAGTGCCCACTGTTAGCCAAGATGCTTGTACTCAGAGTACTCTCTCAGATTTGATTGGTCTATTTTTGTGAAAGGAAACGTTTGTGGTTACGTGGCCTCAAGGCTGAATGTAGCTTCAGTCAGCACAGCATGTAAGGAAAATGGGGGGGGGGGGTTCCTGCCCTGTTCTGGGGGTCTCAAAACCACCTTTGGTACAGGCAGAATCTGCCCATCTTTCATTCTCAGTGAAGGTGGGCCACTCATCGTGGCACCGGCACCAGCTCGCAGCCTTACACTAATCACTGTGCCTGGGTCCCAGCTGACCATATTGAGGGCACACGAAGGAACAGAGGTTTCCTTTGCCGCCCATTATACAGAATTCATTTCCACTGGCCATTCTAGTAATTGACTGCCCGTTATCCATGATCTGTGCGGGGCTGGGGATGCTCCTGTGTGGGTGCTGAGGCTCAGCTGCCCTATCGTGTTCTCCCCAAACGCAAACGCAGTGCCCGTTTCTGGCAAGGCCAAAGTGAAGTTCCGCCCACAGGCCTCCTACACACTCACTTCCTGGCAGAGACCCTCAGTGAGTCTGGGGGCTTCCATTCTCTTGGTGTTGCAGGTCCCAGCTGCCACTTCTCATTTTGACCCCAGCTCTGCAGCTTCCATTGTGCGGTGATGAGGATACTGTGCGCAGCACACAAACCCGAGAGTGCTGTCGGCGCCAGGACCCCACCAGGCACCCACATCTATGGGGCCCCCACAAATTCTGACCGAGACTGCGGTAAGCAGCTTACTGTTTAGGCACTTCTCTTCCACCCATCGAGTCCCAGTTGGTTGCCCCCGAAATCAAAAGCTGCTGCCTTGCACTTCAGCCCTTGAAGTCTGATGCGCTCCTTGATGTGCTCAGGCTCCGCGACGACCGTGGCCCCGCCGCGCACCTTGTTCACATACGCAGCCCGCCACGCTGTGCCTTTGCCTCCGCCAGGGCCCCATGGAGCTGCCGCAGCGCTCAGCTTGAGCTTCCTGCCGGCAGACTGGGACCTCCACGCTTCCCGGGCCGCCTGGGGCCCCTTTGGTTACCAAAGCCCGGTTCCTCCCAGGCTACTGCCCAGTCTTCATCCTGGGCTGGTCTCTGCTGGTTGGAGTAATGAGAAACCAGAGAGAAAAAGGAAGAGGAGTAACTGTTAAAAAAAGATAGGAGGGCTTCCCCCCAACACCCCCGTCCCTTCCTCTCCTCCCCAGCAAACCCCCGCACTCCCCACCAGACCAAGGCTCCAGCCCATTCACCAGATTCACTTAAAGTGTAACTTAACATTTTGGAACTTGGACCATGTGTCTACCAAGGCTCAGGCTTTGGTGCTGGGTTAGAAGATTGTGCTCGATGCTTCCTGTGGCCTTCAGTGAAGTCCTTCATAAAGGAACCAAGTTTTGGTTCAAGCTTGGTGTGCAGAAGGCAAAGAGAGAAGAGAATGTGGCCTTATTAAGAAAGTCTGATCTGCTTTGAGCTGAATCAGGCAAGCACTTGACGTGCAAATGGAGAATTTTGCCTCAAGGCAGTTAGTACATCCAGGGAGGGTAGCCTGAGCTCAAGCCGAGATCCTGAGGAATCCTAACAGGGAAGTCAGGGGGATAGCTCCTGCCAGAGGAGATATGACCCACCAGAAAAGTCTTTTACCAAAATGCACCTTGGATGAGAGAGTAAGCCTATTAGTCCTGTTTCTCATGAGTGGGAGGCAGAGACTAGGGTGGAAGAAGCTAAAGTGAGAATTTGGGGATTTCATGTGTAGAGACAGAAACATTAAGGTTGCTATTCGGATTCAGGGAGGATTCTGATTCAAGAAGCAGACATTGAAGTTATCAGCAGAAGCCTGACATTTTGAGAGTTCTGAGAAATACCAAGTCTTGGAAATATGAGTTTGTTCATCTTTGCCAGTCCCTATGACTGTGACCTTGGAATGCACACACCTCAAAGTGTTGAAGGCTGAAGACATGGGATTATTGCCTGTGCCCCTCTGATGGCCTCTCCTGGTGCTGTGTCATTACTGTAGAAGGAATGACAGTGCCTGAGGGAGGCCCTCTTGGAGAACTGGAGAACTGTCAGGGATAAGAAACATTTTTTTTCATGTTGTATGGGTAATGTGCTGATGTTATAACAAGGTTTGAGGGTGGCACATCGCACACATGCACATGAACACTTAGTCATCATGCTCATGAACTACAAAAAGATCAAGAAACATTCCTTTTTTTTTTGAGATGGAATTTCACTGTGTTGCCCAGGCTGGAGTGTAGTGGCACAATCTTGGCTCACTGCAAACTCCCAGGTCCAAGTGATTCTCCTGCCTCAGCCTCCCAAGTAGCTGGGATTACAGGGATGTGCCACCATGCCTGGCTAATTTTTTTTTTTTTTTGTACTTAGTAGAGACAGGGTTTCATCATGTTGGTCAGGCTGGTCTTGAACTCCTGACCTCACATGATCCACCAGCTTCGGCCTCCCAAAGTGCTGGGATTAAAAGCATGAGCCATCACACCCGGCCAAGAAACAATCTTACCAAGAAACACTGCAGATCCAGAAACATTCTGTGTACTGGGGCAGGATGTCTTTGCCGCTCCAGCCCGCTATGTTTCTGTGGACCAGTGAGCATGGCATGCCATGGGTCTCCTCTCCTTTTTCAGGCAGGTTGCATCACTATTGATGGATCTTTCTACATAGCTGATCAGAGGCCATTGATAAGAAAAATTGATTTGGGTTAACAAACATCTCTTTGGGGTTGCAAAAGTCCCCAAAAGATCAAAATCATTGGTTGTCAATACTTGGGCTCAGCACAGCATTCATTTGGCAAGGACATTTTTACAGCTGATGTTAACTGGAGAGACAGGAAATCTTTACTGAGGGGTGGTGTGTTCGTTTGTAAAGCTGCTGTAACTAAGTACCACAAACTGGGTGGGTTAAAGAACAAAACTGTAGTGTTTCACAGTCCTGAAGCCTAGACATCTGAGATCAAGGTGTTGGCAATGTTGATTCCCTCTGAGGGCTGAAGTGAAATCTGTTCCAAGGCTTTTGCCTGGTTTCTTGTAGTTGTTGGCAATCTTTGTCATTTCTTACCTTGTAGAAGCATCACCGTGATCTCTGTTTTCATCTTCACGTGACATTCACCCTGTGTGTTGTCTGTGTCCAAATTTCCTTTTTTATGAGGACACAGTCTTATTGGTTTAGGGTTTGCCTTACTCCACCCTACCCCAGTATGATCTCATCTTAATTAATTACATATGCAATTACCCTATTTTATTTATTTTTAAGAGATGAGGTCTTGCTTTGTTATCCAAGCTAGAGTATAGTGGCATGATCATAGCTCACTTCGGCCTCAAACTCCTGGGCTCACACAGTCCTCCTGCCTCAGCCGCCCAAGTAGCTGGGTGCTATGTGTCTGCACAACCAGCCATGTGTGCACAACCATATCCAGCTAATTTTTAAATTTTTGTAGACATAAGGTCTCCCTCTGTTGACCAGGGTGATCTTGAACTCCTGGCCTCAAGTGATCCTTCCACCTTAGCCTCTCAAATAGCTGAGATTACAGGCATGAGCCACCACACCTGGCCCTATTTTTATATAAGATCACATTCTGAGGTACTGGGGGCTGGGCTTTACCATATGAATTTTGAGAGGACACAGTTCAACCCATAACAGATGGGAAGCTTGAGAGGGGTGACAGTGGAGGGAGAAGGAACATGCAGAAGCTTCCATCAGGCTGTTGTTCTTTCCTGAGCTTCCTACTTTCTGTCTCCAGATCTTTTTTCCTCCATCTCTGTTATGACTAAGAGAGGATTCCTCTCCTCCAATTTTTAGAAATACCTTTTCGCTGATAAATGATGGGACTCTTTTCCAATGCCTGTCTTTAAAATGCTTTGATAGGTGTTGTTTCCATTCTCACCTCTACACTAATACCCTTAAAGTATTTTGAAGGGCTTCGACAACAGGGACCAGGACTCAAGTTTCTGCTCTTTCATAATGGTACCCCCTTTTTTTTCTCTCCTTCCTTCCTTCCTTCTTTTCCTTCCTTCCTTCCTTCCTTCCTTCCTTCCTTCTTTCCTTCCTTCCTTCCTTTTCTCCTTCCTTCTTTTCCTTCCTTCCTTCCTTTTCTCCTTCCTTCCTTCCTTCCTTCCTTCCTTCCTTCCTTCCTTCTTTCCTTTTTTTTGAGACAGAATCTCACTCTGTCACCCAGGCTCGAGTGCAGTGGCACAATCTTGGCTCACTGCAACCTCTGCCCCCCAACCCAAGTGATCCTCCCACATCAGCCTCCTGAGTAGCTGGGACCACAGGTGTGTACCACCATTCCTGGCTAATTTTTTTTTTTTTTTTGGTAGAGATGGAGTTTCACCATGTTGTTCCAGGCTGGTCTTGAACTCCTGGGCTCACGCCATGCACCTGCCTTGGCCTCTCAAATTGCTGGGATTATAGGCATGAGTCACCATGCCTGGTGGCACCCCCTTTTCTTTCCTCTCTTTCCAATGCTAAATGTACAGCAGGAATTAAATCAAATCAAAGGCCTTTTAATTTGACTGGCTTCAGATTATTCTTCCCCTGCCCCAACCTTAGAAACAGAATGGAGATTCATGTGATGCAACAAATCATTATACTTTATTATTTCTTGTGAACAAAATATTTTCCAGAGGTCACCATTGTAAGCAATAATATTGGAATCAGTGAAAACAATCAATATAGACCAAATTTTTTAAAATGATAATTTCTCAGAAATATATGTCTTGAGGTCGTTGAACATTATCTATAAGCAACTGATCTTGGGAAAACATAATTTTTGAAGAACTCTCTCATCCTATGACAGTGACCTAATGTGAATGAATAAAATATATTTCTGTAGTTGAACTGAAAATAGATATATTTCTATGGCTGAATTCTAATAATCTTATTCACTCTTTAAATTGTACATACAGCAAAATTACCAGAGTTCTTTTGAACTTGCTACTTTCTCAAAATTCATATAAGCTATCCAAGTAACACTGTTAAAGTCTTAAATATAATAATGTTATAAAGCACCTTATTTCAATATATCTCCCAAAGTTTCCTTTTTAAATCCCTCTTCTTAAAATAGCATGTCAGAACTATTTTAGAAGCAGGGTTTTATTTGTGTATGTTGGTTGTTTCAAGCCTTTTCGCATAGTAGTGGTTCTATAATCAATGTAGGCAAGATTGATGGTAAGATGTGTGAATATGGATCAGCAGCCATGTTGAGACTCAGGCCCTTTAAGGATGCAAGAGAGATCCAGTTAAGTTTTCATTCTTTAAGTTGGATGAAAACTAAACAAACATACATTGGATGGAAACAAACAACAACATCATGATGGTTTTGTTGACCACTGTGGTGTTTAGCTCTATTTTAAGACTTTTCTACATGTATCCCTCTCAACTCAAGGTGCAGCAAATCACCTCCTTGTTAATAATGCATGTGTGGATCTTATCTTGGCTGTGTCTGTTTTAGAACCAATGGTCCAAAGCCTCGAGGCCACTGCCAGCACACTGCCACATGCACTTTGTTGTCCTGTTAACCCTTAAAGAACTCAGATTGCCAACGCTACTACCCAGACTCATGAGCTTCTTGTCATATGTTGCCTTTGATGTTTCTTCGGAAGTCTAATTTTTTTTCTGTCTGGAACGTAGAAGATATTGATCTGAAAAAATTAGTTGATAATTTCCTAAGAGTTATTTCAACAGATTTTAATATTTTTACTTCAATGTGACTCAGTCAAAGTCACTTACACTACACAAACATCGAACACATTTCCATCATTATTTCTTCTCAGGATAGTAAAACCCTTTTCATTTTCACATCCAGGGGACTACCCATCGCACCGTCTTGGCACTCATGGGAGTGAAAAATCTGTTCAGGAACTCCTTGCAGTCAGTATTCATCATGAAACGGGTATTCAGGATGGTCGCGCCACCTGCCAAAACAATTCCCCCACAGAAAAAAGTTCGCTCAAAAATTGCACAGCTGTATGTTTCACTAGCATCCTTTGAGAATTTCACTGACACTACCCCTCTCTCCTATTCATTCCTTTACTGTTTCTTACCTACTCTCCTCTTTTGTTTTCCCTCAAGCCAGCACCTTTTCCTGAAGCTCTGGACAGCCTCCTGAATGTGAGTGTGTTGAGGGAAAGTTAGTGGCCACCTTATCAACATTTTACTCAGAACAGAATCCCCAGAGGTGAGTCATGTCTTAGGCATGTCAGGTGTGCACACCTCTTCCCTACTCCTTCCCCCTTTCTGTTCCCTTGATGCTGGCTGCCTCCTTCTCCAATCCACTACATGGGCATTTCTCTTCAAAACTCTTATTACCAGTGTCACCCTCTGTTGATGAGCACTTTTTTCTTTTTCTTTCTTTTTTTTTACAGATGGAATCTCGCTCTGTCACTCAGGTCAGAGTGCGGTGGCATGATCATAGCTCATTGCAACCTCAAACTTCTGGGCTCCCAAGCAAGCCTCCTACCTCAGCCTCCCAAGTAGCTGGGATTATAGGTATGTGCCACCACGGTTGCCCAAGCTGAACTCTTGGACTGAAGCAGTCCCTCTGTCTCGGCCTCCCAAAGTGCTGGGACTACAGGTATGAGCCACCACACCCAGTCTCATTAGCATTTTTACTTGCCCCTCTCACTAGACCTCCTGCCTGTTGAGAGTTTGAGATCTAGAAACGTGATGAGTAGCAAAATAAGTTTCCTTGATGATTATGACAATGATGATGGCAGTGAATTTAGCTCTTAGATAACAATGATGAAATGGTCTGTGAAATGTCTGGAATGTATGTGTTCCTGATTTAGTTTTCTGTAGGTACTGTAAATTAAAATGGAAAATATTAAGATTTTCAAATGTTAAAAATCGACTTGATAAAAGCTGAAAAACATCATGGTCCAGTATCTCTAAATGATACAGTATTTGTGATTATTGGGGTCTAATTCTTGTTTCACCTTGCTGATTTTTCTAGTTATTTCCTGGTAAGAGTTATTTTTTTCCCCTAAGTTGCTATAATGACTTTTAAATATGTCAAATGTCAAGATGAATAATGTCACCAACTGTCTGTAAAACAATTAGTACATTGATGGATTATACTGTTTTTGTTTGTTTTTTGTATTTTTTTGAGACAGGGCGTCACTCTGTCTACCAGGATGGAGTGTAGTCATAGCTCACTCAAAGTCTTGGGTTCAAGTGATCCTCCCACCTCAGCCTCCTGAGTAGCTAGTACTACAGGTGCTTGCCACCACGATGGCTTATTTTTAAATTTTTTGTAGAGATGGGGTCTTGCTATGTTGTCTAGGCTGGTGTTGAACTCTGGGCCTCAAGTGATTCTCCTATCTTAGCCTCCCAGAGTGCTGGAATTACAGGTATGAGACACTGCACCTGGCTTCTCTTCTAAACTTAATGATATAATATCAATTCAATAGAAATCGTTTATCTTCAAGAGCTATTAATTAACCTATAACTGTTAGTTCTGGGAAAGTGTTATTTATGTGTTTATGTTTACTCTTTTGTTCTTGAGGCTGGGTGGTGGCGCCTTTTGATGTCAAACAATTTTCCCCCTGAAAAATTTCCATTAGGAAGCTGTTTTATTAATTCAGAAATTCAATATTAATCCAGCCAGTGTACTTTCTGGCCCATGAAAAACAGTGGGATCAATAAAGTAAGTGTCCAAACTATATGAATCATCTTAGCATTTTCTGAATGCTCACTTAAAGATTCAAGATGAAGATGACTATTCAGGTGATTTGAAGAACTGAAAGATTAATAGAAAATGATTAAGAAGAAAAAAATGCATGTGTGTGTATATGAATATATATGTGTATATGTGTTTGTATATCTATACACACATATATAGAAACTATTCTTTTTTTTCTTTTTGAGATGGAGTTTTGAGATTTCTTGTTGCCCAGGCTGGAATGCAATGGCATGATCTCGGCTCACTGCAACCCCTGCCTCCTGAGTTCAAGCGATTCTCCTGCCTCAGCCTCCTGAGTAGCTGGGATTACAGGCATGTGCCACCACACCCAGCTAATTTTTGTATTTTTAGCAGAGATGGGGTTTCTCCGTGTTGGCCAGGGTGGTCTCTAACTCCCAACCTCAGGCAATCCGCCCACCTTGGCCTCCCAAAGTGTTGGAATTACAGGCGTGAGCCACCACACCTGGCCCAAACTATTTTTTTTTTAAGGGTCTGTAATATTTAGAGAATAAAGAGCTACTTCAGTTGGTTGGCCGAACTTGACATTTTGAAGGAGTATACCGAGTTTTGCTTGTGGGAAGTCAGCTAATAGGTAGAGCTAGAAACTAAAATCTTATCGGCAAGGAAGTATTTATCTGAAAGTCTAAGTTCTTGTTTTGCAATCTAGTGTTCTTTCTGCAACATTATCATGCCTCTCAGAATTTTTTTTTTTTAATAATTTTGCCCTAATTGGTGCATCACTTTGATTTTTAGGAATAAATAAATAAGTTGTTTCAACATTTGTGCTGCTGTTGTTTTAGCATATGTACATGATAAATTAATTCTCCTCAGGCTCCTTAGTCTGCATGGCTTCACCTAAGTCACGGAATGTCACAGATGCCAGGACCTTCCTTTTCAGTGAGAGTGTAGGGTTGTGGAAGGCCTGTAGTGGATGTATTTCCCTCAGGCATGTTAACATTCGGAATATGCGGCCCACCATGCTTTGCCCTGGTGCTATGGACATAGGTCAGGGTTCATATAAGCCTTGTTGCTTGACACGTGACCATTCAATACCACTGGCCAGTACCCTTTAATGATCCCCAGAACTTACATGAGCAATGGCACAAAGCGGACATTTTTATTCAAGGCTTCAATGTCCTTCATTTCTTCTTCAGTGAGAGAAAAGTCGAAGATCTGAAATAACAGAAATAATAGGATATTTTTGAAGGTCAAGCTTGGGATCAGAAAGTGGGACCACCAGTGAGAGCCTCTGAAAGATGTATGAATATCTTTGCAAATGTCTAAGAGGAGTCAGGCTGGTGTTGGGGGGCTACCCACTGAGGTGGAGCTGGATACTCTGATCTGCCCTTTGTTTTTGAGACAGTCTTTCTGGGGACATCTTACAAGAAATTCCAAATGCTCTGAAACCACAAATGTTAATGAAATCCCCTAAAATTTCAAATGTGAAGAACTCTTATTTCTGTATGAAATGCTGGGCTTTTGATTCTGAACTACTGTCTTACACTTAAAAAATTCTGAGTCTCTAAATATGCTGTTTTTTTTTTTTTTTTTTTTTGAGACAGGGTCTCACTCTGTCACCCAGGCTGGAGTGCTGTGGCACCATCTTGGCTCACTGCAACCTCCGTCTCCTGGCTTCAAGCTATTCTCATGCCTCAGTTTCCCAAGTAGCTGGGACTACAGACACGCCTGGCTAATTTTTGCATTTTTTGTAGAGATGGGGTTTCACCATGCTGCCCAGGCTGGTCTCAAATGCCTGAATTCAAGCGATCCTCCCACCTTGGCCTCCCAAAGTGCTGCCATTACAGGCATGAGCCTCACTACACCCGGCCTAAATTTGCTTTTAAAAAAAACTTTTAATTTGCTTTGTTTTTAACTTTTAATTCGCTATGTTGAAATCCTTTCTCTCAACATCTTTGATGTCTCTTCTACCTTTTTATTCTAATTATATTTTCATTGTTTTAGTTTTCTTAGCTTTTACACTTTATTTGTATTCTGGTTTTATAATTGTCCCTTATTAACATTTATATATTTTATTTTCACTTCCTTTTATTTTTAACATTTGGGTTATCTGTATATAACCTATTTCTCTTTATTATTTTATCTTTCTATCCTTTAACTTTTATTTTAATATATTTAATAATTAATAGATTTTAATTATATAAGTAGTACATAAATATATGCTCTTTGCAAAGAAATGAAACACTGTAGAAGTACATAGACCTATATGGAATAAATAATGAAAATCTTGTCACTCATCACCCCATTCTTATTTCCCTTCCCAGATATTCCTCCCAAATACTACACACATTAAGAGGAAAATGCAGTAATTAGACCATACCTTTATGATTCTGCAACTCTCCTTTATTCATATAATATCTTAGTGACCCCAGTGATAGTTCTATCACAATATGCAACCTGACTTTTTTCTTTTAGCCACGGTATTCATTGTGTAGATGGAACATGATTTACTTAATTTTCCCTCCATGGATTCTTTCCAAGTACTCTTTTCAGGGAACCATTTTCTTTTATGATTTATTATCCACTTATTGGTATTTATGAGATTATATAAGGAATCAAAAATTCGCACAATATAAAAATGAATGAATCGCCTATAAAATGAATCCTTACCCAGACTTCTTTTTTGCTAAACACTAGTCCTGTCCTTTAAGTCTTGGTGGGCCAGCCTCTTATCCAGTAAGTATATGGCATAACCTAATGGCAAAGTGAGGTTGCAAATCTTGCAAAGATGCGGGATTTTATGAAATCAAAGAAAGTGATCTTGGAGATTTGTTCTAATTATAGGTATGATGTTTTTCAAAGAAGAATCCTGCACAGTTAAAAATCTCCTTTGATAGATATGTCAAAAGAGTGTGACTTGAAAAAAAATTAAAGAGTTACAAATCTCCTTCAGATAAAACCCTCCAAAATTTTTGTGAGAATTATTCTCTTTATGAACGTTCTGCAAAACTTCTGTGAAATAGAGGATGTTATGTTGTGTTATGTAATTTTCTCAAGCATATTTTGAAAAGATCAACACTGATTCACTGTTTCTTCTGAGTTAATAAACATGCAATTGTAACCTACATTGTGTTGAGAATAAAAGTAAACTTACTTTCATAAACTTTGGTTTCGATCTTAATAGAAGCTTTCAAATTCACCCTCTCTACATTATTTCTACGTCATGTTTTTTCTTGTTGTATGTGGATTGATTTTCAGTGGTGGTCTTTTTTTTTCTCCCATGGCACAAATTATCCTAAGTGAATGAGGATCTCATATTACAAAACTGAGCTCCTGATAGTTCCTCTCAAACTGCTTCTCCTACAGTTTTCCATTCCAGTAAATGTTTGAAGAAGGAGAGATTGTTGACTGTATCAGATGTGGCTGAAAGACCAAGTGGGACAAGGACTGAGAATTACTGGATCTAGCAATATGGAGGTCACCGGTAACTTTGACAAGGGCTGTTCCAGTGGGATGGTCAGGGTAAATGTTTGGTTTGAATGGACTCAAGAGATAGTGGGGGAAGGGAATGAGAAGCAGTGAGAACAACTTCTCGTTCAAGATGTTTGAAACAGAAAGAGAGAAGTGGATAATACTTGGGGAGGAAAGTGAGTCTAGATTGGATTTTATTTTTTATGATAGGAGGTTACTATATATGCGAATGTTGGTGGGAGTTACACAGTAGAGAGAAACAATTGCTAGTGTAGGAAAGAGAGGGGGATGTTTGAAATTGAGGCTATGGAGGATTTATTAGGAAGTTGTCATTGTAATTTCCAAGGGATAGCCATGGGAATTAGGAGCTGAAATATATAGGACAAGATTCTTATGGGAGAGGAAGTCACAGAGCTGTCAGGTAAGGGTGGAGAACGACTGGTGTGGATGTTGAATTCACTAAGAATTATGAGAGGGAGAGTGTTGGAGAAAGTGAAAGTAAGCCCAGAGATAACATCTTCAAAGAATGGCGTCCAATGGATGACGGCAACAAAGCTGGACCACACCTGGTATAATTTCATATATTTTTTTTAAATTTTAACTTTTAAAATATCCTGGCTCCATATTTGTTTTCTTCATTTTTACCTTTAATTTTATCTAGTTTTTAAACTCATAGTTTTTTGTTTGTTTTGAGACAAAGTTTCGCTCTTGTCATCCAGGCTGGAGTGCTATGGTGCGATCTCAGCTCACTGCAACCTCCGCCAGCCTAGTTCAAGTGATTCTCCTGCCTCAGCCTCCTGAGTAGCTGGGGTTACAGGCGCCCACAACCACACCCGGCTAATTTTTGTATTTTTAGTAGAGACAGGGTTTTGCCATGTTGGCCAGGCTGGTCTCAAACTCCAGACCTCAGGTGATCCACCCGCCTCAGCCTCCCAAAGTGCTGGGATTACAGGAGTGAGCCACCATGCCCGGCCTAAACTGATGGTTTAACTTAACTTTTTTTATTTTAAAGCAATGGGATATCGCTTTGTTGCCCAGGCTGCTCTCAAACTCCTGGCCTCAAGCAATTTTCCTGCCTCGGCCTCCCAAAGTGCTGGGATTACAGGTGTGAACCACTGTGCCCAGTCTTAACTTTTTATTACATAATTTTTATTGTCTTTTGCTTTTCTTTTATCATCAAAATATTTATTTTTCTGTTTATTCTTTATGTTTTATTGATCTTTATTGATCTTTGCCATCTATGCCAGAGAGCATAATTTTTTATTTTGTTGCTTCTTGCTTTCATACCCAGCAAAATTCATGGTTATTGGGTGAGTCTATTCCCTAAAGAGTGAGAATTGGCTGTGATTTTCATTCTCATTTTCCTTCTAAATCTGTATCCCTTTTATATTTTTTTAGAATACGTGACCTCTGAGTTCCATTCTTTTATTATCAAGGCTATGGAAACATATGGAATATAACATAATTAGTTACTATGAAAATTTCAAGGAGAGTGGCATTTTCTCTGGTACAAAATTGCGATTTGCTAGATGCCATAAAGTCCAAATGCCTTCCGTTGCAAAGGTCACTTGTAACACCCTCATGTAATTTTTAAACAGCAAAATTTTCAGTCTTCGAAAAGTCCATCAAAATGTGTTTTAATTTTCAGTGAACCAACACATTAGTCATGCAGTTGATCTCTTTCTAAGACTGTGGAAAAGAGTGTCAACCACTTTTTAGCATGAGGCATTTTGGCAAATGTTAAAGTACTGTCAGGAGTTGATGTAACTATTTAGCATCTTTTCTCCTTTTTTCTTTTTATGAACTTTCCTTCCCCTTTCTAGTGGAGCTGTTAACTTCTTCAGCACAGGAATAGGCATCTAGCCCTGGGGGCAAATCAGGGTATCCCACTCTGTGGCCACAGTGGGTAATATGAGGGTGACCTACAAGAGCTAATCAGGGATTGATAGAGACCCTGATAGAAGCCTTTGTTTCTGATCATCTTCACTCTTCACCGAGTATGAGTAATTGATTATCCTGGAGCTGTTAGGAATTGTCTGTGTCACCATGTGGGTGGAGAGAAAGGAGAGAGAGAGAGAGAGAGAACGAGATCTTTTTATAAATCATTTGAGTACCTGTGTCTGGCCATTTCCGATCTACTCATGGACTTTCCGGTTATGCGAGCCAATAAGTTATCTTTTTTTTCTTTGCTAAAGTTTGAGTTGCATTCTATCATGCAGCAAAAAAGCTCTGAAGATGTAATTGTCTAATATTGTGGATATCTTCCTATGTCAGTACTTTTTTATTAAATGGCTGTATGATATTTCAATGTACAAACATGTCATAGCTTGTTTTATAAAATCCTGTTGAAGATTGTTTTGAGTTTTTAAAATATTACAAATAATTCTATAATAAACATCTGTCTGTGTGTGTGTGCATCCATGTATATATGTGCAAATACATCTATAGGATAAGACTGCTGAGTCAATGATATGTGTATTTGGATTTATTTAATTTGACAGATAACATTGTATGTTTTTATCATGTGCAACATGATGTTTCTACATACATATAAATTGTGGAGTGGCTAAATCTAGCTAATTAACAAATGCATTACCTCATATAGTTATCACTTTTGTGGTAAGAGCACATAAGATATACTCCCTTTATGTTTTTCGAGAATACACTGTATCATCAACTATAGACACCTTTTTGTACAATAGATCTCTTGACACTTATTCCTTCTCACTGTAATTATGCATTTTTTGACCAATATCTCTTCCTAGCACCCTCCCTTCAATAATCTCAGCCTCCGGTAACCACTATTCTACTCCCTACTTTTATGTGATTAACTTTTTTAGATTCCATATATAAATAAATCATGTAACGTGCGCATTTGAATTTTGATGGACATGAAATAATTTAACCTACTCTTCCATATCTCATACAAATCAATGTTTCTAACAATAGTATGTGAAAGCGCCTGTTTCCCCAAATATTACCAAGTATTTTTATTATTTTCTGATATGAAGGGACAACTAGTATCCTATTTTTTATTTATCTTTAATTATGAGTAGGGCTAAACAGGCAATTTACTTTTGAAATGTAAATTAACTGATGGGTAATTAATTAATTTTATATGGCACTTTTCTATGGTTGTATTTACCTAGCAGTTTAGTCTTTAGTAGTAGCGGAATCAATGAATTACCCCATTTGTCTAGTTCTTTCTTCACCTGGAAGTTACAATGTAAGTCATAGATTACTTATTGAGGGAAGTAAAGGCAATTAGCATTCAAGAGTCTAAAAGGTCCTCGTCAGTAATTTTCGAATTTATCCTCTACTTTTACCAGAGCCATTAAGAAGGTGGAAAGTTGACTATTATGAATTCCAAATTGTATTCACTCAATTTCTGTTGCGCTGGTAGAGAAGTGAGTAGGTAGTGTCAAGAGTCAATAGATAAGAGAAGAGGCTGGGTACAGTGGCTCACGCCTGTAATCCCAGAACTTTGAGAGGTCAAAGTGGAAGGATCGCTTGAAGACAGGAGTTCCAGGCTAGCCTGGGCAACATAGCAATACCCTGTTTGTTAAAAAGAAACAAAAAGTAGATAAGGAAAGAGAAAATATAAGGGATCTGGATAGTGAACAAGTAGCAAAACAATCTCTGAAGTACTAACAATTGTCTCAAATTCAGTGAAAATTAAACCTAGATATGGGCTACATGGGTCAAGGAGCTGGTATAAAATAAAATATGAGAGCGTTACAAGTTTCCTATTAAGCTGAACACGTTCTATAAAAGCAAAAACAGCAAACATACCCATCTTTTCACATCTCCAAAAGCAATTCTCTTACCTGAAAATTTTCTTTGATCCTTTCAAGATTGAAGCTTTTAGGAATGACAACCACCCCTCGCTGGATGTTGAAACGCAAAACAATTTGAGCTGCTGTCTTATTGTACCTTTTCCCCAATGAGTTTAGAAGCGCATCCTTTAACAAAGGTGGAGAAGAAACATTCACCCTTAAAAATATCAAAACATGTATCATAATTAGTTTGTGTAATCAGAACCAAAGGTTAATAAACCATCTTCCTCCTCTGTCTTCCCATTCACCCAGTCACCTACCAGGACACTGCAGGTCACCTGTAACCAGTTTCTCTGAGTGCAGAGTATGCATTGAAGGGAGAGGTACTCTTAGTATGGGAAGATCAAGCAAGGCAAGTTTATGGAGCTGCCTCCTTCAGAGGGTAAATAATATTTTTTGATGAGTCTTACAGAGAGAGCCGGCACATAGGGAAAGGCAGGAAGACTGAAGTGGAAGAAATAGAGACGCAACTTTTGCAATCATCTTAAAGTAGAAAAATTTCTACTTACATTTATGGAACACATCATAGTAAAAGTATCAGTATTAAATATAGGATCAAAAAATTCAAAATTTGCAAAACATGGCCATAGAAACTCCTTTGTCAAATAATAATTAAAGTAACATTTACTGAGCATTCCTATATATTGGGCACTGATAGGCAATTTCATATCTATAATGTAATCAATTTCACAACAGCTCAGTGAGGAAAGCATGAAAAGTTCTAATTCATATATACAGATAATGACTTGAAGAGGTTGCACAGGCAAACCAAAAGGCATTCCAATCAAGTACAGTAGTTCACATGAGCCTCACACTCTACACCAAAGGAAATACTTCCTAAAGTTTTACTTACCAGATTGGATTCCTACTGGTCCCCAAAGGGCTATACGCAATAATGACGATGTCATGTTGTTGGCAAAATTTCAAGAGTTTTGGCTGCGTGAAATACGGATGGCACTCAACCTATGTGGTTGCATTGGAGAGCAGAGCACACAATCAAGGCCACATTGTTGAATGCAATTTTATAGTTAAAAAAATTATTCAATAGAATCCATTTTATTAATAGAATCTCCTTCATACTGTGTACATTTTGTGTCCTAGTCTGTCCCTTCGTATCTTGTTCATTTTGCTTCCTTAAAATGGATTTGAGAACATCTTTTGTTAAGATTTCACATAATATGAATATCTTACTTAATCATTCCCTTAATTTTTTTTTGTTTCCACTTTTTTCTATTATAAACAATGTTATAGTAAACACATATCAGTCTATCTAGGCATTCTGATATTTTTTATTAGGGTAGATTACTAGAAATAGAAGACTGTGAACATTTTTTAAGGGCCTTGATACATAGTGACAAATTGTTTTTTTAGTAAAGCTAAACCAATTTGCACTCACTAGCATTTAATCACTTGCCTACATTGGGGCATTATATTTAAAAATATTAATAAGACAAAAACTTTGCTAATTTGATGTGCAATAGAAAAATCACACTACAATTTAAGTTTCTCTAATTAATAGTGAGTTTAACATTTTTCATGTTTACCAGTCTTGCAATTTGTCTTTTGTGAATTTCTGTTCATTTCTTTTAGTCCTTTTTCTGTTGAACCTTAGTGTTTTTTCTCATTGTTTTTGTCATTGATTTTTATTAGATTCTTTTTTGTTGTTGTTGTTAGACGGAGTCTCACTCCGTCGCCCAGGCTGGAGTACAGTAGTGTGATCTCGGCTCGCTACAACCTCCGCCTCCCGGGTTCAAGCAGTTCTCCTGCCTCAGCCTCTGAGTAGCTAGGATTACAGGCATGTGCCACCATGCCTAGCTAATTTTTGTATTTTTAGTAGAGACGGAGTTTCACCATGTTGGTCAGGCTGGTCTTGAGCTCCCGATTTCATGATCGCTCGTCTCGGCCTCCCAAAGTGCTGAGATTACAGGTGTGAGCCACTGCGCCCAGCCCCAAGTCCCTTTCTTTAAAGTGACACCAATAGAAAGAAGTCTAAAGACTTGCGTAGGGGGGGCCCATGATGAGACTCAGGTGGAGCAATCATGAGCCTTCCCGATTCCCAGCTGAGGCTTTTTCGTGTCATGTAAATCCTGCCCCCATTCCCCTCACCCCAGTGGAAGCTGTTAGGCTGTACCTGGTTGCTGACTGGCTTGTATTTGAGTCCCGGCTTGTTCAGGATGAGCTCCAGCTGCCTGCGGTTAAAATTGGACACTCCCAGAGATTTCACCAAGCCAGCATCTTTGCAAGCTTCCATAGCCTGTAGAGTAAATGTCAAGAGGTCAATAAACAAGCCTCACAAGAAGCAAGAATGAATGTTTATAAGGGTGACTGTGAATTCTTTAAAAAGGAAAGTTCCTGGGTATGTTAATAAGCATCCTGCGAAGAAAAATAAAAGAAGGATGGTGGGAAAAAGCAGGAATTCCATGATCGAGTTTGGAAAATATGTGTATGCCATATTTTCCCCTTGTGTTTTCTCAAGGTATTTAGCACACTTCAGTGATCCCAGGTAGGGTGCGATGGCTCACACCTGTCATCCCAGCACTTTGGGAGGCTGAGGCAGGAGGATCACTCGAGTTCAGGAGTTCAAGACCAGCCTGGTCAACAGAGTGAGCCTTCATCTCTAATAAAAATCAAGAATTAACTAGGCATGGTGGTGCATGCCTGTAGTCCCAGTTACTTAGGAGGCTGAAGTGAAAGGATCCACTTGAGCTGGGGAAATTGAGGCTGCAGTGAGTTATAACTGTGTCACTGCACTCCAGCCTGAGAAACAGAGTGATACCCTGTCTCAATTAAAAACATTTTTTAAAAATGATCCTACTTCTTGAAATTTTTGGATACTTTCTTTATGGCATAGTACCTGGGCCTTTTTTTTTTTTTTTTTTTTTTGAGACGGAGTTTCGCTTTTGTTGCTCAGGCTAGAGTGCAATGGCGTGATCTCGGCTCACTGCAACCTCCACCTCCCGGATTCAAGCCTCCTGAGTAGCTGGGATTACAGGCATGCACCACCACGCCCGGCTAATTTTGTATTTTTAGGAGAGATGGGGTTTCACCGCGTTGGTCAGGCTGGTCTCGAACTCCTGACCTCAGGTGATCCACCCGCCTCAGTCTCCCAAAGTGCTGGGATTATAGGCGTAAGCCACTGCGCCTGGCTGGCAATTTTTATAAACATTCTGGTATATGTGAAATAGATATATTCTCCCATTTTTGGATGTAACACTCTCTGTCTCTCCTCTCTCTCTCATACATATATGTATACAAATATACATACACACATGTTGTATATAAAATTAGGTCTAGCTCTTCTTGGCTTCTCAGTAACTGAAATTAATATGTCAAAATTAACAGAAAGAATGTCAAAAACTGAAAGGAATATGTCAAAAATCTCTTACTATACTGGTGATATATTAATGTTCTTCTGTATTTTATTTTATTTTTTTTGAAATAGTATCTTGCTCTGTCACCCAGGCTGGAGTGCTGTGGTGGGATCTTTGCTCACTGCAGCCTTGACTTCTGGGCTCAAGAGATCCTACCTTCTTAGCCCCTTGAGTAGCTGGACTACAAGCCTGTGCAACCACACTGGTTAAATTTTGTTTTTAAAATATTTTTTGGAGATGATGGGGTCTCACTAGATTGCCCAGGTTGATTTCAAACTCCTGGCCTCAAGCAATCCTCCTACCTTGGCCTCCCAAAGTGCTGGGATTTCAGGCATGAGCCAATGTCCTTCTGTATTCTGTCAATTTTTTGTTTTATATATTTTGAAGATACTTTATTTGGTATATATGTGCTTAAATTAGTATATCTTTTTGGTAAATTCAATCTTTCATCTTTATGTACAACTCTTTTTATCCCTAATAATGCTTTTAATTTTTAAGTCTGTGTTATATGATATTAATATAGTAATACCAACTTTTTCTGGTATTTAACTGGTGTGTGTGTGTGTTTTTTTTTTACTGTAAAGTTTTAACTTTCACATGTCTTTTTGCTTAGGTGCCTCCTTTTAAATTGTCAATCTCTGTCTAGGTGAGTTTATTTTATCTACATTTATTGCAACCATACATATATTTGAACTGTTTCTACCATCTTGATTTCAATTTATCCCACTTATTCTGTTTCTTCTTAACTCTTTATTACTTTTAAGAAGTTTTCTAATAAAGACAATAGCTTAGCATGTTTATGCAGAATTTATGTCTACCCTCAACATCTGTGATGCTAATAGTATAATATAAACTTTAATTGTAGCATCTTATGGGTTCATTTTCCTCTTGTTATTTGATCTTAAATATGTTCATAGATAATACATACTTTAAGTTTAATTTGATCACTTTTGCTTTATGCATTTTTTGGAGCATCTGTTAGATTTTTATTCCTTTTACTTAGTATATCACTCAGACCTAATGATTTCCAGTGTGGGTCTTTATGTGGCAAAATTTCTGAGCATGTGTAGATGTGGAATTTTTTATCCTGCATCATTTTGCCTTATAGTTTGGTGGGTTATAACTGATGTACAATAAACTACACATTTTGAAGTGTACATTTTGAGGATTTTAATGTATGCATACACCAGTAAAATTATCATCACAATCAAGATCATGAACACCTCCAGTGGAATACTGATAAATGTTTAACAACCAGCTATCCAGGAAGAAAAAAGCTCCCCAGTTTGTAGTACTTGTCAATGTCTGTGATGTGACTAGTCACACCAGGTTATTCAAGCTAACAATCCAACATCACTGAATGTAGAGTTAGGAAGAGGTTTGCACAACAGGTTCTTGCAAGCTGGTATGGGCCACTTTTAGTACAAGATTACCCTCCCCCATTGAACTGCCTTGGCATTTCTGTTGAAAATCAGATTCTCATGCCTCAGCCTTCCAAGTAGCTTGGATTATAGATGGGCACCACCACGTCCAGCTAATTTTTGTGTTTTTAGTAGAGATAGGGTTTTGCCATGTTGCCCAGGCCATGTTGCCCATATATGTGTATGAGTCTATTTTAACATTCTCTATTAGGTTTTATTGACCTATATGTTCCTCTTTATGCTAATATGGCACTGTCATGATTACAGTAGTTGTATAATAATTCTTGAAATTAGTATAAGCCCTCCAAACTTACTGCCTTTTGTTTGTGAGATGGAGTCTTGCTCTGTCACTGAGACTGGATTGCAGTGGTATAGCTCACTGGAGCCTCAACCTACCAGGTCAAGTGATCCTCCGACCTTAGCCTCCTGAGTAGCTGGGACCACAAGCGCATGCCACCTCCATGCCCGGCTAATTGTTTTATGTTTTTGTAGAGATGGGGTCTCATTGTTACCCATACTGGTCTTGAACTCGTAGGCTCAAGTGATCCTCCCTGCTCAGCCTCTCAAAGTGCTGGGATTACAGGTATGAGCCACTGTGCTTGGCTATTGCTCTTTTTCAAAAAGTTGTTGTGGTTATTATAGGTTATTTGTACTTCCATATAAATTTTATTTTATTTATTTTTTTGAGACAGACTCTCACTCTGTCACCCAGGCTGGAGTACAGTGGTGGGATCTCGGCTCACTGCAACCTCCGCCTCTCGGGTTGAAACGATTCTCATGCCTCAGCCTTCCAAGTAGCTGGGATTATAGATGGGCACCACTATGCCCAGCTAATTTTTGTGTTTTTAGTAGAGACAGGGTTTTGCCATATTGCCCAGGCTGGTCTCGAACTCCTGGCCTCATGTGATCCACCTGCCTTGGCCTCCCAAAGTGCTGAGATATACAGGCGTAAGCCACTGCTCTGGGCCTCATATAAATTTTAGAAGTAGGTTTTCTATTTCTGTTGAGATTTTGACTGGGATTACATTGAGTCTACAGATGAATTTGGGGTGAATTAACACCTTAATATTCTGATCAAGGAACATGGTAAATCTCCATTGAATTTTGGATCATCTTTGATTTCTTTCAGTTATAAGTTGTTGTTTTTTCTGTTTAGCTCTTGCACAGATTTTTAAAGATTTATCTCTAAATATTTAATGTTTAGTATTGTTTTTAAAAATAATTTCCAATCGTGTGTTGCTAATATATAAATTACATCTAGATAAAGATTTTAATGTTTTTAGGTCTTATGGATTATTTACATGTGTACCTCCTGTTTGATCAGACAGCATACCTTACATAATTAAAATACTTGGAAGAATTACTGAGATTTGTGTTATGTCTCAAAAAATGGCCTACGTTGCCAGGCGCGGTGGCTCACATCTGTAATCCCAGTACTTTGAAAGGCCAAGATGCGTGGATCATGAGGTCAGGAGTTCAAGACCAGCCTGACCAACATGGTGAAACCCCGTCTCTACTAAAAATACAAAAATTAGCTGGGCATGGTAGCGCGAGCCTGTAATCCCAGTTACTCAGGAGGCTGAGGCAGGAGAATTGTTTGAACCCAAGAGGCAGAGGTTGCAGTGAGCCGAGATCGCGCCACTGCACTCTAGTGTGGGCAACATTGCGAAACTCGTCTAGAAAAAAAAAGAAAAATAACACTCTGTTATATTTTGGTGAAGTGTTCTATAAATGTCAACCAGGTTAAGAAGGTTGATAATGTTGAAATCTCCTATATCCTATAGCTCTTTCTGTATACTTTTCATTTTAGTATGATACCATTTTAATAGAATCTCTGACTATAAATGTGAATTATTCTCTTTCTCAGAAAGATATTCCTCATCTTTCCTCTTTTGTGCTCCATGATCCCTTTAAGATCTTTTTTTTTTTTTTCTGTAACTATTACTCCCGACTTTTTTTTTTCTTTTTTGTAGAGATGGTGTCTCACTATGTTTCCCAGGTTGGTCTTGAACTCCTGGGCTCAGGTGATCCTCCAGCCTTGGTCACCCAAAGCATTGGGATTATAGACATGAGCCACTATGCCCGCCTTCTTGTTTCCTTTTATTTTTTCTTCTTTCTTTTTTCTTAGACTCCAATTGTGTGGATATTGGAATTTCTAATTTTATTCTTCGAATTTCTTATCTTTTCTTTCATATTTAAAAAAATTCTTGTCCTTTTCTTCTTCATATTGAGAGATTTCTTCATTCTGACATCTCAATTTGACCATTTTCTTCTATTTATCCCAACCTATTGCACTGTTTTTATTTTTTAATTATTATTTTCGCTTGTTTTTTAAAATGTTGTTTGTTCACATTTCATATTGCTAATATCTTTTCTTATGCTTTCTAATATATTAATTGGTTAATTTAAAGGTTCCTGGTTCTCTGTTCTGTTTATGTTGGGATCAGTAATTGAGATGTATTGTCTTCTTGTGAAACAAATGCCTTGTTACTTTGGGCTGTGAAATCATTTTTTCATGGGGATACTGGCTGTCCTGTTAGGTAGTCCCTTAGAAGAGAATGTTCAAAATGTCCAACTATCCAAACCTGATTCGCTCCCATGAGGTCAGGAGTGACTGTGTGTTCTTTTGGACGGAGCCCCAGGCACTGGGAAATAAATCATTCCTTCTCACCCCTCTAAACAACTCCACAGCTCAGACCTTCAGCTGTTGCCTCAGAGGCAAGTATATAGAAAGAGGTACTTACCAGAGTGTAATTTCCAAGCTTTTGGAGTTTAGAATTGTATCGGTGGGAAAAAAATTGCCAGAGGTCAGTGGGTAACTTACGTTTTTCTTCAATTTTCACAAGTTCAGAATTTCAAGGTCGCTCCACTGTGATTCCTGAAAACACCTGATTGAGCCCTGAGTTTCCAACTGTGTGGAAATATTTGTTCCCAGGCTATGGCAGGGGTGAAGGAAGTGCAAAAGGACCAACCCTTCCTCTCCTGTACTATCTTCTTCCTGCTTGTTGGGTTGACTTCTACTCTAGGTCAGAGCTGCCACACCACCTCTAAGTGAACAAGTTCAAAATATCCCTCCCCGCCATGAATCCGTAAGGGTTTATATATTATTTTCCTATAGTTCTCTACTCTTGTGATCTTGGGAAAAGAGCCAGCAGCTTGCTCAGAAATAAAAAACACAATTGCTTTTCAGGTTTTTTTTGAGACGGCATCTTGTCTGTCACCCAGGCTGGAGTGCAGTGGCATGATCTCGGCTCACTGCAACCTCTGCCTCCCAGGTTCAAGCGATTCTCCTGCCTCAGCCTCCTGAGTAGCCGGGATTATAGGCGCCCATCACCACGCCTGGCTGATTTTTGCATTTTTATTAGACACAGAGTTTCACCATGTTGGCCAGGCTGGTTTTGAACTCCTGACCGCAGATGATTCGCCCACCTTGGCCTTCCAAAGTGCTGGAATTACAAGCATGAGCCACTGCGACTGGCCTGTTTTTCAGTTTTTTGTGTATCATTTTAAGTTTGTTTCTTTTAGGCATCATATTAACAACTTAAGATTTATTTTTTTTATTTTGTGAATTTATCTTATTCACATATTTTAATTACTTTTATATTAGAACATATTTTGTTTACATTGTTTTTCCTTCCACACCGCTCTCTTTTCTTTGGCATTCCAGCAAAACAAAAGTAAGAATTATTTAGTACTCAGCAGTGGAGATTTCATATACCTGTACTTACGGTTAGGAATGCCTGTTCTGACTGTTACTTTTCATTGGAAGAAAAGGGTGCATCTTTCTCCATAAATATGACAGGAATAATCAGATCACAGTGTTAAAAATATAGTCTTTTAAAATAAGAAGCATATTTGAACTTACCTCCCAAGTGGCACACAGATTTGACTTGTGATATAACCATTTGCCATTCTCATCTCTAGGGTATACTTCATCTCCTGGCTGAAAAAAAAAAAAAGGAATAAATGTAATTCATTTTATTTATACCTGGGAATTAAAATAACAGGATTTAGACTTCCCAGTTTTCATAATTGTGATCAATAAATGTCTATTGTTTCTAAATCACCCAGTCTAAAGTATTTTGTCATAGTGGCCCAGCTGGATTAAGACACCTGCCCATGCCCCCTGGGATGCCAGTACCTGTCTTGTGTGCACTGTCCTTTCACTCTGTACAGCTGACACCTGCATCTGTTAGAGGACAGACCTCAGGCTACTGGGACTTGTGTATCTACTCAATTAGATGTGCCCGGGAATTTACACCCTGCTCCCCTCGCTGGGGCAGCCTTTGAGCTAAAGTTGCAAGTATCAATATTTGTTTCTTTGCCCCGTGACTGTGTAATTCTGAGATGTGAACAACTTTGTGTCCAGAGCTTTCTGTGACATTTAGCCTAAGTTGCTCTCTGTAGGACTCTGCTTTCTACCTCACATCTGCTTAACCTCTTATTTTTCAGCCACATTTCCCCACTCGCTTATCAGTTTTCCCTGGTTGTACTTCAAAATAAATCACTCTTTTATGCATTCTCTTCATCTCAGGGTCTGCTCCTGGGGAACTCAGCCTAAGGTGCTATATGCAATAGCGGAGAGCTGATGGTGCCTGGGACTGGGGCAACTGCAGTAGAGAGGAAAAGAAGGGAACAGATTAGCACATGAACAAGTAGTAGAGCCAGCATGCCTTAATGTTGACTTGGAAATGAGGTAGAGTGGTGGAAATGAGGGATAGGGAGGAATCAAAGATGATTCCCAGACGCCTTGGGTGGGTGGTGGTAACCATTTCCTGAGGTTGGGGCTAGCAATCTGGAATATCATTTTGGATATTTTGACTTTGAAATGGTCATTAAACATTCAAGTGGATATTGAGGCAGGCAGTTCAACAGAGAAGTCAGGAGCTCAGAGAGAGGTCATGGCTACAGATAAAATTTGGGAGTCATTAGCATGTAAAATGGTATCAAATCCACAAGGTTGGATTAAGTCACCTATAGAGAGAGTGTAGCTAGTAAGACAAGAATATTGAGGGTAGAAGACTGGGCATAACAACATTTGGAAGCTGGCAGAGAAGAAGCTGCCAAAGACCATGGGAAGGTCATGAGATGTCATGAGCACCATGAGAAGAAAATGTTTACAGAAGGAGTTGGTAGTCAACCGTATTGAAAGAGATCAAATAATAGGAGGACAAAATGTCTATTGGGTTTGGCAGGATGAAAGACTTTGTTGACTTTGGTAATAGGGATTTTCTTATTGGGAATCGCTGTGGTTTAAATGTGTCCTCCCGAATTCATGTGTTGGAAATTTAATCCCCAGTGCAACTGTGTTGGGAGGTGGGACCTAATGGGAGTTGTTCAGTCATGGATTAATGACATTGTAAAAAGGGCTCAGATGAGGAGGGGTGCCCTCTTGTGCTCTCTGCCCTGCCTCATCCCAGCATGTGATGACATAGCAAGAAGGCCCTAGTAAGGTGCTGCTCTTGGATTCTCCAGCCTCTAGAACTCTGAGCCAATGCATTTCTGTTTATTATCTACTCCCCAGTGTCAGGCATTCTTTTTTTTTTTCTTTTAAAGGAAATGTTTCTGAATCATAGCATTCTTTTTCTGCTGTTGTTTTTTGTTTGTTTGTTTTTGAGACAAGGTCTTACTCTGCTGCCCAGGCTGGAGTGCGGTGGCATGATTATGGCTCACTGCAGCCGTGATGTCCCCAGGCTCGGGTGATCTTCCCATCTCAACCTCCTGAGCAGCTGGGACTACAGGTGTGCACCACCAAGCCTAGCTATTTCTTCTGTATATTTTTTTGTAGAGTCGGGGTTTCACCATGTTGTCCAGGCTGGTCTCGAACTCCTAGGCTCAAGTGATCCAACCTGCCTCAGCCTCCCAAAGTGCTGGGAATACAGGTGTGAGCCACTGCACCTGGCCTCAGGCATGCTTTTATAGCAGCACAAAACAGACTGAGAAGGGAATCAAGGAATTGACAAAATAATTATGCTCTTAAATTTGTCCCTAATTTGGCCAGGCACAGTGGCTTACACCTGTAATCCCAGCACTTCGGGAGGCTGAGACAGGCTGATCAACTGAGGTCAGGAGTTCGAGACCAGCCTGGCCAACACGGCAAAACCCTGTCTCTACTAAAAATACAAAAATTAGCTGGGCTTGGTGGCGGGTGCCTGTAATCCCAGCTACTCAGCAGGCTGAGGCAAGAGAATCGCTTGAACCCAGGAGGCAGAGGTGGCAGTAAGCCGAGATCATGCCACTGCACTCTAGTCTGGGCAACAAGAGCAAGACTCCATCTCAAAAAAAAATTTTTTTTCTTTAATTTTTTCTTCTAGCATGTCACCTTTGTGAAACTCAACTTTCCTTTAGTGAAAACATTTTCCCCATTGTCTGCTTTAGGGAAAGACAGTGTCTTGTCAACTTCCCCCCGTCTCCCTGAGAGCAGGGAACAGTCCCTTTTCTCCTTGATGCCACATTATTACTCATGTTAATTGTCCATTCTGTCTCTGATTTCTAATCACTTTGACTTTCTCAACACTTACAACCCCCATTTCTGCTCCATATTTCTTGCCTTGTGTTTCGTAATTTTACTTACCTTCTGAATGGCCTTATGCCTCCATCATGAATTCTGTTACATGATTTTTACTTTCCCAGATTCTAATCAAGTGGTTATCAAACCTGAACCCACGTTAGATATCTTTAGGTGTTTCCCTTGACCTTCCATTGTGCCTATTTTACTCATCGTTTCATCCTGATAAGCCTCTTTGTCTGTTTCCTTCATTCCTCTTCCTCACAGTCAGGTATTATTAGAAGAATAACCCAACCCTCTAAAAATCTATGCTATTGACTCTCATTCTTGTTCATTTATCTTTTAAACATGTCATAATTTTAAACATTTTGTTGGCTAAAATTCTGTCTGCTTGACACTTAAAAAATAATAAAGTGCTAAAAATATTTTAGCAGGAAAGGTTTTCTGTTTTAAAAAGCTTAAGATTCAAAAAAGCATGTGAAGTCAAATATGGTGGCTCATGCCTGTAATCCAAGCACTTTAGGAGGCTGAGGTGGGAGGATGGCTTGAGGCCAGGAGTTCCAGACCAGCATGGTCACCATAGCAAGACCCTGTCTCTAAAAAAGAAAAATTGAAAAATTAGGTGAGTGTGGTGACATACACCTATCATCTCAGCTACTTGGGAGGCTGAGGCAGGAGGATTGCTTGAGCCTAGGAGCTCAAGGCTACAGTGAGCAACACACCACTGCAGTCCAGCCTGGGTGACAGAACAAGACCTTATATCTCTCTCTCTCTCTTTCTTTCTTTCTTTCTTTCTTTTTTTTCTCCTTCCTTCCTTCCTTCCTTCCTTCTTTCTTTTCTTTTCTTTCTTTCTTTCTTTCTTTCTTTCTTTCTTTCTTTCTTTCTTTCTTTCTTTCTTTCTTTCTTTCTTTCTTTCTTTCTTTCTCTTTCTCTCTCTTTCTTTCTTTTCTTTCTTTCTCTTTCTCTCTCTCTCTTCCCTCCCTCCCTCCCTCCCTCCCTTCCTTCCTTCCTTCCTTCCTTCCTTCCTTCCTTCCTTCCTTCGTTCCTTCCTTCCTTCAACAGGGTCTTGCTCTGTCACCCAGGCTGGAGTGTAGTGGCGCGATCTCGGCTCACTGCACCCTCCACCTCCCCAGCTCAAGCGATCCTCCCACCTTAGTCTCCCAAGTAGCTGAGATCACAGGCACGTGCCACCAAGCTTGGCTGATTTTTGTATTTTTTGTAGAGATGGGGTTTTGCCATGTTGCCCAGGTTTGTCTCAAACTCCTGGACTCAAGTGATCTGCCAGCCTTAGCCTCCCAAAGTACTGGGACTACAGGTGTGAGCCACCATGCTCAGCTGACCCTACCTTAAGCAAACAAACAAATAAACACCAAAAAACATGTCCTATTTTAGCTTCAAATATCAATTTCCCAATTATAGGTTCAGTTGGGAGGTAATGTCACTATATTGTGTCATTTCTCACTGTTAAAATTTTACCTCTGTGCCCTTGAACCCATCAAAAGTAAGAATAGAAATTATCTATTGTCTCCAAAAAGATTTAAATGTCATTAGTTAGTCACAGAGAAGTAAATTTTATTTTCTCACTTTTAGATAGAGTCATGTGCTGCATAATGACATTTTGGTCAATGACGGACTGCATGTATGTTGGTGGCCCATAAGATTATAATAGAATTGAAAACTCCTATCACCTAGTGACATCACGTTTGTGGTGTTGCTGGAGTAAACAAACCAACTGTGCTGCCAGGTATATAAAAGTAGAGCACACATCATCATGTACAGTATATCATACTTGATAATGATAACAAACAATTTCTGTTTTTACTATGGATACAACTTATGTATTTGTTCTACTACACTTTATGATAATTTTAGCATGTTCTCCTTCTCCTTTTAAAAAATGTTAACTGTAAAAAAGCCCCAGGCAGGTCTTTCAGGAGGGATTCCAGAAGAAGACTGTTGTCACAGGAGGTGGCAGCTCCATGTGTGTTACTGCGCTGGAAGAACCTCCAGTGGGACAAGATGTGGAGGTGAAAGACAGTAATATTGATGATGCTGACTCTGTGTAGGCCTAGACTAATGTGTGTGCTTGTGTCTTAGTTTTTAACAAAAAAGTTAAAAAAAATTTTTAATAGAAAAGAGCTTATACAATAAGAATACAAAGAAAGAATATTTTTATACAGCTGTACAACATGTTTGTGTTTTATTCATGTTATTAAAAAAGTAATTAATCGCAGCACTTTGGGAGGCTGAGGTAGGCGGATCACGAGGTCAGGAGATCGAGACCATCCTGGCCAACATGGTGAAATCCCGTCTCTACTAAAAATACAAAAATTAGCCTGGCGTGATGGCGCTTGCTTGTAGTCCCAGCTACTCGGGGGGCTGAGGCAGGAGAATCACTTGAACCCGGGAGGCGGAGGTTGCAGTGAGCCGAGATCGCGCCACTGCACTCCAGCCCGGCAACAGAGCGAGACGCCGTCTCAAAAAAAAAAAAAGTAATCAGTATTAGTGTTATTATTAAGTATTATTAAAAAGAATCAAAAAGTTTAAAAAATTAGAACATTTGTAAAGTAAAAACAGTTACAATAAGCTAATGTTAATTTATTGTTGAAGAAAAACTATTATTTGATTAATTGTGTACCCTAAGTGTGCGGTGTTTATAAAGTCTCCAGTCATGTACAGTAATGACCTAGGCCTTCACATTTACTCACTATTCACTCACTCACCCAATTTTTATCCTGCAAGCTCCATTCCTGGTAAGTGCCAGGTATAGGTGTATCTTATCTTTTATGCCATATTTTTACTATACCTTTTCTATGTTATATTTATATACACAAATATTTGCCATTGTGTTAACGTTGTCTACAGTATTCAGAATCAGAATAGTAACATGCCGTGCAGGTTTGTAACCTAGGAGCAATCAGCTGGGCTATCTAGCCTAAGTCTGCCATAGGCTATACCATCTAGGCACAACGTGTTTGCGCTTTATTCACGTTATTACAAAAGTAATGCCATCTACCATGGTAAGTAAAACCTTACCACCTAGGTTTGTATAAGTACACTCTATATGATGTTTGCAGAACAACAAAGTTGCCTCATGACACATTTCTCAGAATGTATCCCATCGCTAAGCAACACATACATGTACACTGGGTCTTTCCAAATTTTTAAGACTTAGGTTAGAAATCTGACATTTGAACAAGAATCAACATGAACAAAGTGAGGATGAGGGCTGAGATTATGACTGTGTGAGTGGGAAGAAGGGTGTGCGTCTCAAGGCTGGGCTACAGTTAGGGGACTACATGTTGGTTTGATGTAGAGAGCTTAAACTATAGTTGTAAAAACATGGTATAATAGAAATTGCATTGAATTAAAAAATCAAGAAACTTGGAAACCAAGCCTGAGTCTGCTAACATAATCTTCTTGGGTATTTGTCAGGCTAGGTCAGTACTCTCTGATCTATGGTAACAAAACACCACAATATTCAGTGGTGCTAAGTAATAAGCTTGCTTCATGCACATAGCTATTAGCTCATGGTTGCCAGAGTGCAGAGACCTGACTTAGGCATCTGAACTCACCTTAAAGGCCATGGGTACTTCAATGATGTAAAGATCCACGTAGTCTAGCTGGAGGACCCTGAGTGTCCTCTCCAGGGTTGGGCGGACCATCTCTGGGACGTGATTTGTAGCCCATAGCTGAAAGAATCAAAGAGGGATCATTAACTAATGTTGACACGATTTTTACAATAACGCAGCCCCTTTTTCTTTGTAAAGCACTCGTACACATTTTTTTTTTTTTTTGAGATAGGGGTCTCACTATGTTGCCCAGGCCGATCTTTATCTCCTGGGCTCAAGCCATCTGCCCACTTTAGCCTCCCAAAGTGCCAGGATTATAGGTATCAACCACCGTGCCTGGCCCCTTGTACACATTTTATTCACACATTTCATTTCACAAAAACATGTTTGTGATGCAGTGTCATCTGAGTATAGGATGAGCTGATAAAACTCTTGACACTCAGAACCTAGCTTGAGAGCTTGTTTGGAGGTTCTAGCAGGGGAGTGCAGCTACTCACATACCCTTGACCTAGAAACCCTCCTCCTTCATCAGGGAAAGCCGTCCTCTTCCGCTGAGAGTGCAGCTTCAAGAGGTACAATTGCCCAGACAGCCAGACCAGCTAAATTAGCCCTGGTGACCAATGGGGTGACAGATGTTGCAGCCAGATCGCCCTCACATCTCCAGACATAATTTTATGCAATTCTACTACAAGAGACTTACAGATCCTCCTGACCACAGAGCACCTAATTTGATGGCAGTCTTTCCCATTTCCGGGCGAATTTCCTAACTGATCCTTAGTGCTTGCATTTTTCCTCATTGTATAACTAGGGTTACGCAATGTTCTAGATGTCCTGACCTAGCCTGATACTTTATTGTCATGCCACTCTGATAAAATGAGCAAGGAATATGGTTATGTGTGTGGCTTCACCGGGTCCTTCGCATTGTGACAGGTGGTGTGAAAGCCTGGTGAAAGTTTAAATTAGTGCACAGATTTACATTTGCTTTCACTGATCTTTTGTTCTTGTTGGGCCCTAGTTAGACCCCAGAGCAATTAAGTTACTCTTTCACTAAGGCATTATTACATAATGAAGGATCAAGGTTTGGTTGATCCTACTGGAGCATGTGTACCCTTAGGTGTCTGAGACATATGGTGCCAAGGTTGCTCATACCCACAGGACAAATTAGTACATCTTTTGGATTATCAGTTTTGCTCACAGATTTTTTGGGGGCATATAAGTTTAGAATCATACTTTTCTTTTTTGTTTCTTTCGTTTTTTTGAGACGGCGTCTTGCTGTGTCACTGAGGCTGGAGCGCAGTGGCTTGATCTTGGCTCACTGCAACCTCTGCCTCCCGGGTTCAAGCGATTCTCCTGCCTCAGCCTCCCAAGTAGCTGGGATTACAGGCACCTGCCACCACACCTGGCTAATTTTTGTATTTTTAGTAGATGGGGTTTCCCCATGTTGGCCAGTCTGGTCTCAAACTTCTGACCTCAAGTGATGCTTCCTCCTCTGCCTTCCAAAGTGCTGGGATTATAGGCATGAGCCACTGCACCTGGCCTGAATCATACTTTTTTTGGTCACCAGAAAGGGCAAGCAAAATTGGTAAAATCTAATTTTTTTCCTCTGTTGGACAATGATTTTTTTTCTCGCCTTAAAAACACAGAGAAAATGTAACATGAAGAGAGTAGTGGAAAAATGTGTCACGTGTGTTTTGATGGCTACTCTGGGTCCCTTTGGTGTTACTATTGTAATCCCTTCTAAGTGGAAATTCTGTTTGATATTTTAATTTACTTTCTTTTTTCATTCCTGGGCGTAGGCTGATGATATTTTAATTTACTTTTATTCAACAAACATACATAGTATTAGCTTTGTACCAGGTTCGGTGTGACTGCTTTGTAAATGTGAACTCATAACAACTTTATGAAATAGTTGACATTATTATCCCCATTTTACAGAGAAAAAAAAACTCAGGTCCAGAAATGCTAGGCAACTCAGCCAATAGTGACAGATCTGGGCCTCTGACCTGGGCAATCTTGTACCAGTCTGGGCACTCAGTCACCCCCACATTGCCTCTCAGGTGCTGCTGAACTGCAGCGAAGACAATCCTGATGAGGCAATTACATGAACTCAGCTGCACATGCTATTTCTGTTTACTTAAGTAAACACCAATATTTCGCCCAAGTATGCTTTATTACATACAGCCCATATTGACATTGTATATGTACGAATATTGCTTTCCATTCACAACTGTACTTTTTGGACAATTTAAAGGATTAAAGTTAAAGGACAATTTAAAGCATGTTTTGACCACTTTTCCTTGTATGCTAACTTTAGCCCCATCATAGTGAGAAATGACTCTTACAATATGAGTCATTAAGCGAAAGGCTTGTATAATGTGCCTGCCCAGGAAGCCCATATAGCTGGCTTTTGGATTGGTGACCTTATGAGCTTGTTTTTGTTTTAAATTTACATTTGTTTGCTTTTATTAAACAAAATCTAGGCCGGGCGCGGTGGCTCACGCCTGTAATCCCAGCACTTTGGGAGGCTGAGGCAGGCGGATCACGAGGTCAGGAAATCGAGACCATCCTGGCGAACACGGTGAAACCCCGTCTCTACTAAAAATACAAAAAAGCGGGCGCCTGTAGTCCCAGCTACTCGGGAGGCTGAGGCAGGAGAATGGCGTAAACCCGGGAGGCGGAGCTTGCAGTGAGCCGAGATCGCACCACCGCACTCCAGCCTGGGCAACAGAGCGAGACTCCGTCTCAAAAAAAAAAAAAAAAAAAAGTAAATGCCATTTCTGAGTTAATTACATTTGCTCAAATTCTTTTTTTTTTTTTTTTTGAGATAGGGTCTTGCTCTGTCACTCAGGTTGGAGTGCAGTGATATGAACATGACTCATTGCAGCCTTGACCTCCCTGGCTCAAGCCATCCTCCTGCCTCAACCTCCCAAAAAGCTGGGACTACAGGTGCAAGCTACCATGCCTGGCTAATTTTTGTATTTTTTTTTTTTGTTGAGACAGGGTTTTGCCATATTACCCAGGTTGGTCTTGAACTCCTGAGCTCAAGCAAAACACCTGCCTCAGCCTCCCAAAGTGAGGATTAGAGGCGTGAGACACTGCACCCAGCCAAATACTTTTTTAAAACCCTCTTTCTCTCCCCCAAATGCTACTCTGCTTACTTCTCCCAAATTAAGAAATAATTCATTAATATGATACAAGAATGTCGAAAATCCTATTTTGCATGATTTTGGTTCATTTTAACACTTATCTTTTGAACAAAGAAACAACCCAAACTGTTATTAAGTACTGCGTACTCATGAATGCAATTACACATACACACACACAGAGAAGATGAATAATCAAATGAACACCTGAAACCTTCTCACCGTCCCCATTGGAGGCTGAAGGCAAGATCTCACCTTTCCACAGTAGAAAATATCTTCCCTCCGCACCTTTCCTTCTGCTATCTTCTCCCTGATGGCCTCCCCAACTTCGTGTTCATTTTGGTAGATGTAGGCGCCATCAATATGTCGGTACCCTGTGTCAATAGCAACCTTCACCGATGTTGCACAGGCTCCCTTAGGGGTCTGAAGTGACAAAGAGGTTGGGTTTGGGGAAAAGAGAAATGGTCTTTCCTTTAATCATCATTAATCAGGACACTTTGCGTGTACGTTCCTTTACAGCTAGAATGACACATTCCCAATTCCTTGCTGTTGTGATTGGAAGATGGTGTTCAGCAGCAGGAGAAACTGACCTCCCAGGGGCCTCCCCTCCCTCAGTGGGAGACACTATCTGTCCCAGGTCTGCCCTCAGCTTTGTGGCATCAAAAATGTGATTTGGGCCGGGTGCGGTGGCTCACACCTTTAATCCCAGCACTTTGGGAGGCTGAGGCGGGAGGATCACGAGGTCAGGAGATTGAGACCATCCTGGCTAACACGTTGAAGCCCCGTCTCTACTAAAAATACAAAAAATTAGCCAGGCGTGGTGGCTGGTGCCTGTAGTCCCAGCTACTCGGGAGGCTGAGGCAGGAGAATTACATGAGCCTGGGAGGTGGAGCTTGCAGTGAGCCAAGATTGTGCCACTGCACTCCAGCCTGGGCGACAGAGCAAGACTCCATCTCAAACAAACAAAATGTGATTTGATCAATATTTCCTGTGACATGAGAATTCATGGAAGCCTTTTTTATTGGAGGGCATGAACTGATTGAAGAAGGCTAAATTATAAATCAAAGGTTGGGTAAACACATTGAGATGTATCCACAGAATGGAATACTCCTCAGTAATAAAAAGGAATGAAGTAGGCCTGGTGTGGTGGTTCACACCTGTAATCCCAGGACTTTGGGAGGCTGAGACAGGAGGATTGCTTGAGGCCAGGAGTTTGAGACCAGCCTGGGCAACATAGGGAGACTCCATCTATACAAAAATTAAAGTAATTAGCTGGGTGTGGTGGCATGCGCCTTTGGTCCCAGTTACTTGGGAGGGTAAGGTAGGGGGATTGCTTGAGCCTGAGAGTTCAAGGCTGTGGTGAGCCATGATCATGCCACTGCACTCCAGCCTGGGCAACAGAGACCCTGTCTCAAAAAAAAAAAAAAAAAAAAAATGTAGCATTGATGACAACACATAGTATGGATGAATCTCAAAATAATTATACTGAGTGAAAGAAGCCAGCCCAAAAAGAATAAATACTTCAGTTTTTCTCTTCTAGCATTTTATATAAATGGAATCACAGTCTGTGGCGACAGACATAGATCAGTGATTGTCTGGGGTCGGGAGTCGGGGAAGTGTGGGTGGGAGGAGGGATCACAAAGTGGCATGAGGAAGCTTATAGAGTTGATAGCTATGTTCATTATTTTGATTGTGGTGATGGCCTCGCAGATGAATATACGTCAGACTCATCAAATTGTATACTTTAAATATGGACAGTTTATTATATGTCAGTTATGTCTCAATAAAACTGAGGAAAAATATTGTTGAGGAACATTTTATGTTTTAGGATATATTTTAATAAAATTTGGTAGCTACATCTTTGTTCATTTTATTAACTCACATTAAACTTAAGAATGAGCATATCCTGTCCCCTGAACACTGGTTTTTCATTTGCTATGGTTTGATTATTTTTGTCCCCTCCAAAACTCATGTTGAAACTGAATCTCCAATGTAAAAAATGGCGTTGAGAGGTGGGGCCTAATGGGAGGAGTTTGGGATTAATGCCACCATAAAAAGGGCTTGTGGGAGTGGGTTCTCACTCTTCTGTCATGTGAGTAATGGTGTCTCTCCCCTCCAGAGAATGCAGCATTCAAGGTGCACCCTTGGAGGCAGACAGACTGGGCCCTAACCTGCTGGCATCTTGATCTTGGACTTTCCAGCCTCCAGAACTGTAAGAGAATAAACTTCTGTTCTTTATCAGTTACCCAGTCTCAAGCATTCTGTTACAGCACACAAAATAGAGCAAGACACCATTTTTCAGATTCTACAGAAATCCCTATGCCTAGGTTTTGATGGCATTTAAATACGAGTGTGTTTCATTTTTGTTACATTTTTTTAATGAGAAACAGCAATGAGATTTCCCTGAAGACAAACATCTAGTCTCATCAAATATAATTTTCAAAGCATCTTTTAGAGAGTGTGTTGTGTGAGAGGGTTAGTTCTATTTTCTGATTTGCGCTGACTTGGTATTGAAGGTTGATTGTTCTGATCTTGCTCAACAAATGTTGGTCAACTACTTGTGCTTTCTTTAGTGTTCTAACCAAATGCTGGACAAATCACATCAGACATGTGAACTCTGGTCCACAGCTATTGATTTGTTGTAGGCTGAGCAAGAGAATAAATCTGAAATGTATTTCTAGTGACTTTATAGTCCTGGGTAGGAAACAGAAGGCTTTGGGAGCATATATTGTATTTTTGCCCCCCGCCGCTTCAGCTGAAAGTCGTCACTATAGAGAAGATAAGAGGATACGAAAAATTAACAAACTGGCTACATAGATGATATTATAAGATTCATAGTCACAAATATCAAATAGCTGGGAGAAGGAGACACACATTCCAGGAATATTAGAAATATTTGTTTGGTTAATTAACAACATGATTAATAGGACTTGGAGAGTAATTGAGTCAAAAGGCCAGAAAAAGCCTGTAAAATGAGATGTTATGAATGACAAGTGTGACAACCAAAGTACAGTGGGAAGGGGAAGTGAGGCATGGTGTCCAGAAATTTACAGGGAAGAAAATAAACATCTACTTTCATTCTCAAGTATCTACATTATTATTATTATTATTATTATTAGAGACAGAGTCTCGGTCACCCAGGCTGGAGTACAGTGGCACAATTATGGCTCACTGCAGCCTCGGCCTCCTGGGCTCAAGTGATTCTTCCACCTCAGCCTCCCGAGTAAGTGGGACTACAGGCATGTGCCACCATGCCTGGCTAACATTTTTGTAGAGATGGGGTTTTGCCATGTTGCCCATGCTGGTCTCAAACTCCTGGGCTCAAGCGATCCTCCTGCCTTGGCCTCCCTCTACATATATATTATTAATACATGAAGCTTAATACTAGATGGTAAATAGAATCTCAGAAACATCACTGAGATTTTGTGGGCTGGAACTGATCATTTAAACGAAGAGCTAAAGTACACAATGAAGGGTGCCCCAGACAAATACATATTAAAGTAGGCGCTTGTATTTTCAAAGATTAACCCAAAAAATGAAGTACAGAGGAGAGCATTTAGGATAAAGAAAGTATGGCCAGGGATTGTGGCTCACACCTGTAATCCCAGCACTTTGAGAGGTCAAGGCGGGCAGATCAACTGAGGTCAGGAGTTCAAGACCAGCCTGGCGAACATGGTGAAACCCCGCTTCTACTAAAAAATACAAAAATTAGCCAGGCGTGGTAGTGAGCGCCTGTAATCCCAGCTACTTAGGAGGCTGAGGCAGGAGCATCTCTTGAACCTGGGAGACATAGGTTGCAGTGAGCCGAGATCATGCCACTGCACTCCACCCTGGGTGACAGAGCGAGACTCCAGCTCAAAAAAGAAAGAAGGAAGGTAGGAAGAAAGGAAGGAAGGTAGGAAGAAAGGAAGGAAGGAAGGCGGGAAGGAGGGAAGGAGGGAAGGAGGGAGGGAGGGAGGGAGGGAGGGAAGGAAGGAAGGAAAGAAAGAAGGAAAGAGAGAGGTAAAGGCAAGGGCTAAAGCAGGAGTGTAGTCCACCATGGTGCCGCATATTTGGATGATGACTCATTTAACAAGGATTATGGCACAGAAACAAGTTATAGTAGTGAAAATCTTCAATTATTCAGCTATCACTGCGGAGTCTCTTCTAAAAGCTGGATATTTACTATTGACTTATTTATTTATATGTTTATATTTATATACTTGCTGAAAAATATTGTCCCTCAGAGGGCAGAAGCAGCAGTGAGATGTATTACTATTTTATACTTAATTCTAATCAATATGGAGGAACTAGTTGGGACTGTGGACATGAGGACCACACTTTCTAATTCTTTTTTGTTGTTGTTGTTAGACGGAGTCTCGCTCTGTCGCCAGGCTACAGTGCAGTGGTGTGATCTCGACTCACTGCAACCTCCACCTCCCGGGTTCAAGCGATTCTCCTGCCTCAACCTCCTGAGTAGCTGGGACTCCAGGCACGCGCCACCACGCCCAGCTAATTTTTGTACTTTTAGTAGAGACAGGGTTTCACCGTGTTGACCACGATGGTCTCAATCTCTTGACCTTGTGATCTGCCAGCCTCGGCCTCCCAAAGTGCTGGAATTACAGGCATGAGCCACTGCACCTGGCCCACACTTTGTAATTCTTAAATGTGGCACAAAGAAATTCTACATAAATTCTGACACATTTTTTAGGAAAACCAGTTTTGAAAAAAAATCAGAAAGATCAAATAGGATACCACATAAATGATATGATAGGAGAATCTAAAATATAAAAATTTGATTCCGCAATGAAGGACAATCCCACTGAACAGTAAAACAAAAAAATCCGGTTTCCTAAAATGACTGACAGCATCTCCTTCTACTTAAGAAAATTAAAAATGCTAGATTAGGCCGGCGTGGTGGCACACGCCTGTAATCTCAGCACTTCGGGAGGCTGAGGTGGGAGGATCGCTTGGGCCCAGGAGTTTGAGAACAGCCTGGGCAACATGGCGAAACCCAATCTCTATAAAAACTACAGAAATTAGCCGGGTCTGGTGACTCGCTTCAGCCTGGGAGGCAGAATTTGCAGGGAGCCATAATCATGCGAATGCGCTTCAGCCTGGGTGACAGAGCAAGACCCTGTCTCAAAAAAAGAAAAAAAAAAAAAAACCAAAGAAACAAAACTAGATTAAAACTTTTAAAAAGTGCTGAAAAGACAGTAGGCATTTATTAATTCAAACTAAATTTTATGGGAAAGTCTGAATGCAGAAATGAGAGGTGCAGGAGATGAAAAAGTTAAGTAAAAAACTCCCTGAAAGGCTATGGCCACCTCCAGTCCCTGGGAGATTTCATAACCTATGTAACCAGAGTCTGCTGACCAGTTTAATGTGGTCACTGGGTAGCAGTGCCTCCAGGGCACCTGAAGCAAACACACACAAATGCTGTC